TTTTTCCTTTTCGGCTCTTAATATTCTTTCTTTATTCTGTATATTTTGTGTTTTGATTAATATATGGCGAGGGGATGTTCTTTTTTTGATCCAGCCTATTTGGTGTTCTGTATGCTTCTTGAACCTTCATAGGTACCTCTTTCTTCAGGTTGGGAAAGTTTTCTTCTATAATTTTATTAAGTATATTTTCTGGACTGTTGAGCTGCACTTCTTCTCCTTCTTCTACTCCAATTATTCTTAGGTTTGGTCTTTTTATTGTGTCCCAGATTTCCTGAATGTTTTGTGATCAGAATTTGTTGGTTTTGCTGTTTTCTTTGATCAGTGTGTTTATTTTCTCTATGCTATCTTCAGTGTCTGATATTCTCTCTTCTATCTCTTGTAATCTGTTGTTAGTACTTTTCTCTGTCGTTCCTGTTTGTTTACCCAGATTTTCCATCTCCATTCTTCCCTCGGTTTGTGCTTTCTTCATTGCTTCCATTTCATTCTTCATGTCTTGAACCGCTTCCCTAACCTGTTTGATTGCTTTTTCTTGTTTCTCTTGGTTTTCTTGCATGTCTTTGAGTGATTTATTCATTTCCTCTACCTTTTTGTTTGTAATCTCTAATTGTTTATGGCAGTTTTTCACCTCCTGTTTAAGGTCCTCTATTATTTTCATATAGTTCACTTTTGAGTCGATTTCTTCTATTTCTTCAGGAGTAGGGTGTACAATTCTTCTTATTTCGGGATCCCTGGGTTCTGGTAGTGTCATGTTGCCTTTCAGGTTGTTGGAGGAATTCTTGCATTGGTTCCTTCCCATCTCTTCCTTCAAATGGAGCCAGGAGAGGCCTGGTGTCTTGGTCCAGTCTTTGCTGTGATTGACTCTCTGGGTATATCTCTTCAGTGTAGAAGCAGGAACCGTTCCCGTCCCAATGGGATTCCTCAGCAACTAAACAGGGCCATTGGTAGCCCAATGATCCAGGGCCAACAGGATGAATGGAGCAAGGGGGGGTGGTATCCAGGAGCGAGCAGGAAGCCTGTCCGGTAGGCAGGCACTCACCACTCTGGGTGGGGAGCCTTAGTTTAGGAGCTTAAAACTGTACTTGAGCACTGGTCCTAGCATACAGCAGGGCAGGGTTGGGGAGGGGTGCTGGGGGGGCTGGGTTGTGCGAAAGAAAGACAGCCCTGCAGAAGGAGCTGGGGGAGGGGGGTTTGTGCTCTCTTCCTGGACAGTCCGCCCCTGGATAGCACACACTCACCCGTCCTGATGGGATTCCTCAGCAACTAAACAGGGCTGCCAGTAGCCCAATGATCCAGGGCCAACAGGATGAATGGAGCAAGGGAGGGGGGTGGTATCCAGCAGCATGCAGGAAGCCTGGCGCCAGAGCTGAAGGTGCCCAGGCTCCCTTACAGGGGACCCTGAGGCCTGCCCGGTAGGCAGGCACTCACCACTCTGGGTGGGTAGCCTTAGTGTAGGAGCTTAAAACTGTTCTTGAGCACTGGTCCTAGCATACAGCAGGGCAGTGTTGGGGAGGGGTGCTGGGGGGGGTGGGTCGTGCGAAAGAAAGACAGCCCTGCAGAAGGAGCTGGGGGAGGGGGGTTTGTGCTCTCTTCCTAGACAGTCAGCCCCTGGATAGCACACACTCACCCGTCCTGATGGGATTCCTCAGCAACTAAACAGGGCCGCCGGTAGCCCAATGATCCAGGGCCAACAGGATCCATTGTCTCTGTTTTTGAAGTAGTTATTGGCTTCATTAATAAATGTTTCCATTTCAAATCTAAGAAACAATGAAGGGAAATTGCAAAAGTCTATAATTGTTTTGCTACATCTTGGACAACACTGATCAATAACTAAAAATAGTTATTCCCTTGTCTGTTTTGGCATTGTTTTTTTGTAAAATTTGAATCTTACAAGAAGCATTGTCAGCAAAGATGAGATAATTTTATTCATACTTTATATGTATATTCATGCCCAGGTGGGTATGAATTATGGTTTTTAGGTATTTAAAAGTATAACTTCTTATGATTTTTTTCTACATCCTTGCACTTTGTTATGCTCATCTCTTCTTGGTCCCTAGTTATCTGCCCCACCCTCCTGAATTCACAAACTTCTTCTGCCATTTCCTGGTCATATCAGTTCTACCCTCCAATTCACCTTTCTATGTTGCTCACCCTCCCATATCAGATATAAAACATTTTGCCTGGTTTCTTCATTTACACTAGTATATGTTCTGCCATTTAAGATTTGTAGCTACAAACTTATCATAAGAAAGAGCATGCAATATTTGTCAGTCTTGGTATGAATTATCACACTCTGAATGATCTTTTCTGTTGGATATATTTATCTGAAAATTCATGATCTCATTTTTCTTTACAGATGAATAGTCTTTTATCATATGCATGTAGCACATATTTGTTATTCCTTTGTCTATTGTAGGACATTAAGATGCTATGTAATTTCCAGCTCTTGTGAGTAGTGCAGCGATGAACATACCTAATAAAGTATCTTTAGAACATGATGTGAACACCACTGGGCATATGAGAAGGAATGATAGAGATAGGGCATGAGGTAGATTTATTTCTTAGCTTTTTGAGACTTCTCCATAACATTTTCTACATGGTTTCATCAGTTTTCAATTAATATAATGATCAACTACTATTCTGTTTCCTCACACTCCTCAAGCAATTGTTGCCAATGGTGTGTCCTTCTGACTGTGGTAGAGTGAATTTTATAAGTTGTTCTTATTTGTAAATCCCTAATTTCTAGAAGCCATTAACATGCTTGAGATATTTATTATCCATTTTCCCTTACTTTCAGTACTCTGTGATTTTTGTTCAGGGCCCTCTTTTGAATAAGCAGATAAAGACTTTCTTTCATTCTGTGGGGTTTTGCTTTAACTTGTTGTTAACTATTTAGAAGCTATTTAGCTTTTCAAGAACCACTCCTCAGATTTTGCCTTAATTCTTGGAAAAACAGAGTCCTATTTAGAAAGTCCTTTCCTACATCCACATCCTATAGGGAACTACATTAGTTTTCGTCTAGCAATTTTAGTTTTCATTTGAGATTTATGACACACTGTTGATATGGGAGTCCCCTCCTTGTGCTGTGATTACCATTAATTAATAAAGAACTGCTTTGAGCCTATGGCAAGGGCAGAACAGAACTAGGCAGTAAAAGTTAGGCTGTGTGCTTGGGGAAAGAGGGTGGAGTCAGAGAGAAGCCATACAGCTACTGCCAGAGTCAGACATGCCCAAAACTTTGCCAGTAAACCACTGACCCATGGTGATACACAGATTAATAGAAATGGGTTAAATTAATATAAGAGTTATCAAATAAGAAGCTAGAGCTAATGGACTAGGCAGTGATTTACTTAACATACATTTTGTGTGGTTATTTCGGTTATGGGTGTCTGGGACAAACAAGGGGCCTCCTCCTACAAATTAGTGCCCATGTGGCCAACTAAAATCCACTTAAGACCTGAGAGGTCTTGGAAAGGAACACTAAACACAAACAAAAAAAAAAGTTTAGCTGTATTTTTTCTGCTGGTGGCTTGCAGTAGCTCCTTTATGAAAGGTTTTCCTGATTCAGTGGGAGTAGGAAAAAAAGCGGTGCCATTTTGAAATGCAGGCTTTCTGGGCTGGGCTGCCAGTGCAAACTCTGACTCTTTCCGGCAGGAGGTACAGCTACAGAGCATTTGAGTTGGGTTTGTGAGCAGAATGCTGCAGCTTGCTTAAGATTGTTATGGACTGGCTGTGTGTCTGAGAATGGGACTGTGACCATGGCTCTCAGAGGCAGCAAACAGCTCTACCATGCTGGGCTGTGCAGAACAAGGAGAAAGTACTATATATACCCTACTAATGATGCAGCTTAAGTTTGTAAGAAGGCTTAGCATTTTAAGAACTGCTCCTGGACAGTAAAAATTATAGATACACAATAGGACAGATTCAAACATGAAAGACCTTTAAATGGACCACAGTGTTGGATAAATGTAGGTAGGCTTGGGAGAGAGAAGAAAAAGGGTATATATAGTTCTAAATGAAATAAATGGTTCATAAAGTTTTTATTACATGAGAGTGAATATGTTAAAGAATTAGAATAGGAGAAAGACAACAAGGAAAAATACAATGAATAATATAATTACACTGTCAACAAGGGCACATCCTTGGTGGTTTGTCCTTTCCTCCTATCTTCCCCATGAAAATTCATGTAGAAAAAAATTTGAGAAAAGGTAAGGTGCAGTTTATATTATTAGCTCTAAACTAGAAAACCAGATTTTTAAGACCCCTCTTCACAGAATTGTTTAATCAACATTTTGTTGGTGTTTTTATTTGCTCCAAAGTAAATTTTGTTGAATAACTTATTGTAATTTGGCTTCATACTCATCTTGTGTTCTTGAAGCAGAGATGGAACCCTATAGCTTCAGGGGAGATTCAGCTTTGTGTCAGCTGATCTAAGTCATGGATCAGCTACACAATCTCGCACCTTCACTTGTCTTTTAGATATCTGCCCACAGTATCCCCAGTACTTGTTGAGGTTTTAGAAGTCAGTCTCTTTCCAGCTCACCAAACACAGGTGTCAGCCCTTCCACGGTCTTCCCCACTGTTGTCATTTGCAGTAAAAATCTCTGCTCTTTTCTTTCATATCACAATCTTGCCTCTTGCTTCCCATTTTCCTTTTGACACATTTTCATTTGACAGCAGTGTATCCATATATGATTGCAACTTTACAGCTCATGGTTCTTCAGCCGGTGGTTTCTACAACAACAATTTGCCATACAATAGAGGCCCGTAACTTGGCAATTCACACTGACATTGTCTGGAATGTTACATGAAGATAATCTGACTCCGAATCGCATATGCCATTTAAGCCTCTGGATCTATGGCTTAAGTTTGTCCTACATTGCTTGATCTGTTTTATTTCCAGCATAAAGATATTTAGTAAGTCGTTGTTTTTAGATAGTGCCTTTTAGAATAATGCTAATCAAGAGTACATCAAGTTTTGTAATGAATTCTTATATCCGAGTATGAGTAAAGAACTTTGTACCTGGGCACTTGATAAACTGTTTCTTTCATTACAGGAAAACTTGACATTCCAGGATGTGGCAATCTACTTCTCTCCAGATGAGTGGAACAGCCTCAGCTTTGCACAGAGGGCATTGTATAGGGATGTCATGTTGGAGAACTACAGTAATATGGTCTCTGTGGGTGAGACTTTTCTTTATTGACTCCTTCTTTATCATAATGGTTCCTATAAGTACATTTTATGTCTATTAATGAATTTTCTGCCTGACATTCACATGACAATTTAATCAGAATCTTGAAGTTCATCAGGTAGAATACAATGTTTTGTAAAACTTTACCTTGTCTATATATTCCTAACTTCTGGGGATGATATTCATCATTCAAACTTTTATAATACCACTTACTTCTCAGGCCCATTATAGATTACATATTTATTTGTAACTTAAAGATTCATCACATAGTTGAATTGAGACTCAATTGTCATATATATAGGAACTCAACTATGCAATAATAACAAAAATGATTTTGAAAATTTTAAAATATTAGGAAATGGCAATGAGGAATTTGTATTTGGAATCTCATAAACCCTCTTGTATAGTCAGTTTGGTGGTTTTTAGAAACCTTTGTGTTTTAGTCTTATCTAAGGATATGCTCATGTATTTCTTCCAACACGCAGGTCTTTTGGTGCCAAAACCAGACCTGATCAGCTCTCTTGAACAAAACAAAGGGCCCTGGAATATGAAAATAGGAGGGACAGAAGACAATGAACAAGGTAAGTTACAATGAAAGATTAGCACATATGGGAAATCTAGGACATGGAGGAATTCTGCCCTGAAGGCAAAGAGGAAATCTTTACCTGAAATGTTATAAGAATTCACATTGAATAATTATCCCAAATTATGTCATAAGTCTTAATCATACGAACTGACCTAAAAACTCAGTTTGAATAGCTAATTTCAGTTATGGTAAAAGATGAAGATTATATGTTGCCATATCTTTAATTGCCACCAGATCATAAACAATATTGAAATGAAAATTAGCATTAAAAACTTGCACAGAGCTTGAAAAATTATTTGTGTCTGCTTTTTCACGTCTGTTAGCTTGTTCTCATGTGTCCGGACCAGCAGGACACAAATCAGGATCCCAGAATGTGGAGGATAGAAATGGAGGGACAAGAGACACGAGAAAATGGACAGCAAGTCTGTACTCTGATCAAGCTGCCAAATTTTATTTTTTTCGCAGGAGCATTATATAGCAAAAGGTTAGGGAAGTAGATAGGCTGCTATGCAATTGTTCTAACTGGAATGTCAGGTCTGGAGGCATCCCTAGCTGACAGGAAGAGATAAGAAACTACTGTGGGTCTGTAAATGTTAACTAACAGGGGGAATGCTAATTATTTCTGGGGCCCAGGACCTGCAGGTCTGTAGACATTCTTAACTCACAAGGAGAGATAAAAAGATACTGGGTTATTTACTGGGCCTGGAACTAGCCCTACAGAGCTTATGGTAAATAGCTTACTTAACTTGTGAACTAAGATAGCTTGACTATAACCAAAACTAGGTCTTTGTTTCCTGCACTCATGACAGTATTACATGGTTTTCACTATTCTGTAGTATCACATAAAATTGGAAAATATAAATTTTATATTGTACTCAATTTTGTAAGATTGTAGAGTTCCCTATTTTCCTTAGATTTACAGAAAAAATTTAAAAGTTATTTTTATCTATTCCTGCATATTGTTCATTATATGTTAAGAATGGTTTAGGGTCATGCTTTTATTTCTCTATTTTAATATTGGCTACAGATCTCTGAATATCAAAATTTTTGATATGTTAATATCCACATAGAGTTTGTGTATTCTCTGGTTTATCTTTATGTTAACTATCTATATTTGAGATTGTTTGGAAAAACAGGTTTGTGCATCTATATATTATTTCATTTTTAATACTTTTATTATTTTTTATACTTCACAAAGTCCTTTGATCATATTCAACACTCCAACACTTCCCGTGTTCTGCTAGCTCCAGATATCTTTGATTTTTTTTTCTCTTCTGTATTTACACTCACAGAGTTCAATCTGTAATTCCCATAATCTTGGTTGTTGATCATATCTTACAATATGGTTGAACTATCAGGAGCTGCACATTCTTAAAATAAATTTTATGCCCTTTTTCCATACATCTTTAATATTATAAGAAATTCTCAGCAAGGTGTGGGTCTCCAAGTCTAGTCACTCTTTCTTCCTAGGATTTTATTCTGGCTTGAATTTGCTCAGGTCTGATACATGCTATCCTAGTTCCTTGACTTCATATGGGCAACTGTCATGGTGTATAGAAAGTACTATTTTCTTATACTCATTCATGACTTCCTGTCCTTACCATGTGTTATCCCTCTGTTCTGAATGAGCTCTAAACATTCCATGGAACATATTTGGTATAAACAAATAAATACAATTCAGTATTTCTTTATTATTTACGCCATGACCACTTGTATATCACCTTTTAGCTGCCAAATTCTGTAAGAAGCTTTGGGAATAAAGGCTTATACCAATAAGACATCAGGAATAATTTTAATACTATAGCGAAGCAGCAGAATAATGGGAGTAGGTGGTAATTTCCATCCTTTTATAATTCTTCTCTAATTAGCATGAATACTCCTCAAATTATTCTACAAAATAAAAGCAGCAGAACACTGAGACATTCCTTTCATGAGGATAGTTTTCTTGATAACTATCAATAAGTCACTTATTCACTCAAAAAGTAAGCAAACTATATGGCAATTTCCTTACGAACATATATGCAAAAGTCCTCAATAAAATATTTGCAAACTGGATCCAAGCACACGTCAAAAATATCATCTACCATAAGCTTTGTTTCAGGACATGTACGGATAGATCAATATACAAAAACTAGTAAATATAATCTACCTTTTATACAAACTGAAAATTCAATTCCGCATTCAATGCAGAAAAGTCTATGACTAAATTAATACCCCTTCTTCATAAAAGTTCTAGAGAGTTTAGGGGTTTAGGGGATATACTTTCAAATAAAAGAACCATTTGACAGCAGGTGTGTAGCCCACATCAAGCTAAATGAAGAGAAATTAAAATGTTATTAAACAAAGAAACAACACAAAGGTACTCACTCTCTCCATATATATTCAATACAATACTTGAAATCTTAGGAAGAATGATATCACAAATAAAGAATATCAAGAAATGATGAAAAGCAAAAGGAAGAAATCAAGGGAATTTTACATGCAGATGCTATGATTTAGGTATAAAAAAAACTCTACAAACTCCACCAGGAAACTCCTAAATCCGAGAAGAACTTTTATCAAAATTAAGGGGTGAAAATATAATTAACAGTGGGTGTAGCGGAATGTGCTAAAATTGTGGAGTTGCAGAGATATTCTGATTATTAAGAAGCCAGGCTGCAAAAGGATAGCTCTGGAGGCGTAGAGAGCCACAAGCAGACAACTCTGGACAGCTATGGAGGAACAGAGTCACAATAGGACAGCTATGGAGGCTGGACCTGCAATACAATATCTCAGCCCTGGAGGACAAGTGTCCTAACTAGCAGTAAGACAGGCTACCTCGAGCTGGGGTGCAGTTGGGCATGGTCTCCCCACAGGATACAGCAATACTGTACTTCTCCTGGAGGGCCATACAGCTGAGTTCTGCTCTGTTCCCTTAAGGGAACATCCTAGCAGAGCTATCTGCTTCTTCTCCAGCCTAAGATGTTACTTCATTTGCTCACACTCCTCTAAAGGAGAAGCACACTCAGAAATATAGCAACTCCTCCAACTCCTTACTTTTTCTGCTCAACCTTGCTTAGCCCCACCCCCACCCCTTAGGGAGCATCTCAGCATGGTTTTTCAGCTCAGTCCCTTAAGGGATGTCCCTCCCAACCATGTTCTTCTATTCTGTGCTGGCAAACGAAGATCTTCACCCAAGATTCTTTTGAGACAGAGACTTGTTTGGGAAGGAGGAGTCCAGCAGAGTAGCCTACTCTGCCAGGGAGACTTAAATAGTGGCCTTTAAGTGAACATGCAGAGAGGCTTGTATAGGGCTTCTTGAAGGAGGAGTTTTCCACGGGAGAAAAGAGGTTGGTTAGTCTTTCCCTGTTCAGGTATTTTTTTTTCATTGTTTCGGTGGCAGATATGGCTCTGATTTCATGGTCAAACTGTGTTTCCTTCACTGGCTCATTGTTGCCAAATCTTACAACTGTAATCTGAGGACCAGGGCATATTTCCTTCACGGGCTCTGATTCTAGGAACAATGTGTTTCTTTGACTCTGGTTTTACAGTCAGGGCAAATGTCTTTAGTCCTGGGTTTGGGGAGAAATATGTTTCTTTCCCTGGCCCAGGTCTCAGATGCAGGATTTGCTAATTTCACTGGCTTGAGGTTTAGAGTCATGGTGCTCAATGATTGATCGGTTTCCTGTTCCAGTTGTCCAATTTATCCTACAGAGGACAGTAGTCCTCCTATATACAAATGCAAACAGACCTAAATAGAAATCACGAAAATGATGTCTTTCACTATAGCCTCAGAAAATAGTTTGGGGGATTCAAAACTAGAAAAGTAAGAGGCCATTGTTACTACTTTAAGGCATTAAAGAAATGAATTGAAGAAGATATCAAAAAATGGAAAAAGATCCTGGCTCAAGCATTGGTCAACTAATGAAATAAATCTGGACATGGACATCATATCAAAAGTAATGTTCTAATTTGGTGAAAAATCTACCTAAATTATAACACAATTCTTTACACATCTTGAAAAGACAGTCTCCAGCGTCACATGAATACATATAAACCAAAAACTCACCATAGCTGAAACAATCATGAAAAATAAAAATATAAATATAGAGGATATTACCATCGACAATATGAAATTATATTACAGTTAAATAATCTTCATGTTTTCTACAATTATGGTATTGCTGAAAAATAAAAACTTGATCAACACAATCAAATTGTAGATGCTGACATAAATCCACTCACCCATGATACCTTATTTTTTAAAAAAATCAAGAATACCCTTGACAAAAAGATAGCATTTATTCCTAACTTTATCTATACTTTTTCCAGCAGACCAGAATTCCCCAACGAAAAAATATCTTTTCTCCCAAGAGAGAATCAGTGGGGAGAAGAGTCACTCCTATAGGATGTCACAAAACACAGCACTTGATGGATAACATCACACAACTCAATAGAATATTTGTATATTCTTTTTCCCCATAATGCTTAGTTTGGGAATTCATTTCATTTTATATTTTTGCTCTATAGAATCTTTGTGTCTATTATAACTTCTAGAGTTTCATTTTGTACATTTTTGTGTGTACAAATGTGTCTATCTCTCGACATATGCTCACTGTGCTTTTTCTTTGTCACCTTTCCTTCTGCTATCTTACCGGATTTCTTTGATTTTGATTATATCATTTTATACTTTTTCTTTTGGTTTTTAGAGACAGTGATTTTCCGTAGCTTTGGAGCATGTCCATCAACTTGCTCTTGTAACCACGCTGACCTCAAATTCACAGAGGTCCACCTGCCTCTACCACACAAATGTTGGTTTTAAAGACATGCACCACCACTGAAGATGGGGAGGATTTCAGTGCATTTGAGGAATAAAAAGCCATATTTGGAATATGTTTTATGAAAACATCTATTTTCTGTGTAAGAAAAAGAGAAAATATATTTGTGATGATATGATCAGTCCTTGTTATATTACTTGATATCTGAGATTTTATGGATCCCTTCATCATGGTATATATAATTCTCAGTGGATCAGTTACTAATCACTGTTTCCTATCTGAAATCCCTTCTTTATTTATTAATTAATATTCTGTCTTCTTTATTGATATTATTTAATTTGTTCATTTCAATGGATTATAGAGATAAGTTATATCCATAAAATTAATATAATTTCATGAATGTGATTTGTTGTTGGGTTATAGGCTTTGAATTAGTTACATTTAAATTACCTTTAATAAAGTCTCTATGATAAAAGCAATATACAGGGGCTCCATGGTGATGAATTAGAGGCAGCAGCTGGTGAGTGGCTGGAGCAACATTAAGAGGTCCCATCTAGAACCACAACAGGAAGCAGAGAGCTCACTGTTGGCAGTAGAAATTTTTAAAATTCTCAAAACCAGACTCCAAGAAAGTAGCAGTTCCAAAAAGCTGATACTTCTTAATCTGACACATAAATATCCACCTACGTCAGGCAATATATCCATTTGTCTGATTATATGGGGCCATTTCACACAACCCACCATAGCCTTATTTATTATTCTAAAAATTATAATTGATATGTCTAAGGTAACATAACTTCAATCCTCCCATTTTATAATTTATTTAATATATGTTATAAAAGATCTTCTATCTATTTGCTTCTAGAAGATTGTTTCATTAGAATAAATTAATTGCTTTATTTTTTGTAATATGCCACCTTGCATATGGGTCTGCATATTTATAAAATTGTGTGACTTATATATCTGGAAACATTTTACCTAAATGGACTAATTCAGATAATTATATATTTTTATTTTATCTAGTATTTTATTCTCATCAAACACAAGATGTATTTTCAAAGGAGAATAGACAAGATTCTGTCAAGAAGTTGGTATCAGGAATATCTGTAAGTAGTACCTTAAAAACCTTGTATTTAAGGATGTTAAATTTGGGGAAAAGAGAAAATAGAATGGATTATGTCATGATTCAAATAATCTATATTCAACAGCCACTCTGGGTAGTCCTGCCAAATAAGATCAGTAATCTATACCTTATCTTGAGAGATTTCACATTAGCTCATTTACATTTTCATATCAGTTTCTTTAGTAAAAAGAATACAAATGAACTTTTAAAATATATTTTTATTTCATAATGAATTTAGAAAAAACCTGAAGCTGAATGACCCATATTCTATTAAACATTCTTTAGAGTCCCCTCAACTAATAAATTCATTTTTGTGACAAGTTATTCGACTGAAATAAACATGAGAAGGTGTTTCTCAATCATATGAGACTAAAAGATATCATAGCATTTTGAGTTGTGAAAATTCTTACAGACTTAATAAATTATTAAAGCCTTTCCTAGGCACTCTAGAAAGAATAATTTCCAAAATCTTCATCTTGAAGAAATAAATTCCCAAAACATCAAATCACCTTATGTCTTTACTCATTATTTGATGCATAATAGCAGGCTATTTTTCCTTCAAGCCAATATATACATGATAATTGTGAGAATATTTTTTTAATTATGACACACACATCTTTTTCCAGCATGACCAGAAAGAATGGAAGCATTATATGAGGAATCAAAATGAAGAGAGACAAAATAACTATATGGAATATGGAAAGTACTTCAAAAAATCTTCATGTGTCACTAGGCGTAAGAGAATTAATCCCAAACAAAAAGCATACAAATGTAAAGATTGGGGCAAGTCATATACCCATCATGCAAATCTTCAAGATCACCAGAGAATCAATCCTGGTGAGAAACCTTACAGATGTCAGGCATGTGGCAAGTCATTTACTCGGCATGCAAATCTACAAGATCACCAGAGAATACATACTGGTGAGAAACCTTACAGATGTCAAGCATGTGGAAAGTCCTTTACCCAGGTCTCACATCTTCAGAGACATCACAGAATCCATTCTGGTGAGAAACCTTACAGATGTCAAGAATGTGGAAAGTCCTTTACCCGGGTCTCAAATCTTCATAATCATCACAGAATCCATACTGGTGAGAAGCCTTACAGATGTCAAACATGTGGCAAGTCCTTTACCCAGGTCTCACATCTTCAGAGACATCACAGAATCCATACTGGTGAGAAACCTTACAGATGTCAAGAATGTGGAAAGTCCTTTACCTGGACCTCATCTCTTCACATTCATCACAGAACCCATACTGGTGAGAGACCTTATAGATGTCAAACATGTGGAAAGTCCTTTACCCAGGTCTCACATCTTCAGAGACATCACAGAATCCATACTGGTGAGAAACCTTACAGATGTTAAGAATGTGGCAATTCTTTACCTAGGTGTCAACTCTTCATAATCATCACAGAACCCATACTAGTGAGAAACCTTACAGATGTCAAGAATGTGGCAAGGCCTTTACCCAGATATCAGCTTTTCACACTCACCACAGACTCCATAGTGGTGACAAACCTTTACAAATGTAAAAAATGTGATTAGTCTTTTAACACAAAATCAACTCTTAGAAAGCATCACAAAACTCATGTATTAGGTACATTTCATAAAATTTCTTAGTATACCTCACAGTAATTCACTATACTGATTTTCACACGTTGACCAAGTTATTACACAGACTCATATCCTTTGATTAATTTTCAAAGCTTAGTCACTGCTTATACAGTCATACAGTTTTTATAAATTTAGAAACATTGTATCTACATTTGATCTTTATTTTCATCAAACTTTTGTTATAAACTGAATTTATGCATGATTGATGTGAACATACTATTAAATCATCGGCTAGTATGAATAAATAAATATGTCTAGTAGGAATAAATTAAGCAATAACTTTTCTTGACTGTATTTTAAGATAATGTGTTTAAGAACCAGCAAATTCAAACTATTTCAGATTTTAATACATATTTAATTTCTTGGCATATGGTTGCTTATGTAATGAGATTATATCTTTATAAACATTATTTTCCTTCAATTGTTTTGGATATTTTACTAAATATAAGCTTGATTTCAACTTTAAGGCTTTTCATTCTGTATCTTTGCAATAAAAAATAAATTAAACACTTGGGCAAATTTTTATCACATTTTTGTTCTGATAGCCTATTCTCTAATGGCAGGGTATCCTTAATGAGATTTGCTAAATGGATGACAACAACAAAGAAAACATGTCATAAAATAGAAGCAGATTTGTTGTAGGATATGTCTACTTTGTGTGAAGATGGATTTCTGTGATTTGTGTAGCAGGAAGATGAATGGACAATATGTAGGCACAAGATAGAGAGAAAAGTGGCATCAGAAATTGAGGCATGAACATGAGTTGCTTGTTGACAGGGAGGAAGCAGAACTTGTTTTATGTGGCAGCAGGTAGAATAAAATATGGGTTAATTGATTAGACCTTATTGGAAACAAGCCTAAGTGAAGGCCCAGCATTCATAATAAGAAGTCTCCCTGTTATTACTTGGGATCTGGTAAAACAGTGAATGACACACAACATAGATTGCTTTAAACTTTGTAAAAATTAAGGTTCAAATCAGCATAAGGTAGTTGGGGGTTACCAATGGGCATGCCAAACTGGCCAAGGAAAAGCTACAAGGCAACAGCATCAAACAAAGAACTCTAGTCATTAAGAAAAGCAGGAAGTGGGAGAGGTGGCCTTCCCCAGAGAGGAACACGTAAACTGGTTGTCCTGTAACCAATGGACAGCCCTGAGAACATACAGAATAGGGACATTCCATGGACTGGTCTCCTTGTACTTAGGAATATATGTATATATAAAAGTATGCATAAAATAACAATACATGAAAAAAGGACAGAACTTGAATGAGAACAGAGATATTTGATATATAGGAGAGTTGGAGGTAGGAAATTGAATGTAAAAAAATGCTGTAATTTGTAGGGAGTACAAAGGTTCATGTGCTCACAGGTAGCACTGAGGAAACCAGGAATGTTAAACCCACAGATTCGTGAATTTGATGAAAATATGTATACTCCGTTTTCTGCTCTGACATCAGGGGCTGCTGGTGGATATACCCCACCCATATTATCTTTATCTTCTCTGTAAGACCAGGCCATACCAAGCCCCCAGTAATAACACTGAACATACTTATTATTTAAAATGTTAAAATACAATCAAAATCATACATAATGATTAAGGCCTCAGGGAACAGTGAGAGAATCTCCAGGAAGAAAAGGGGAGAGTTCCACTTACTCAAGTGCATTGTGTTCCATGGCATGTTCTTGGGTGTAATTTTGTGTCTCCTGAAACAAATATTTGCATTGAATTGGTAAGACATGATTAGTGTTGTTGGGTGTCAGGACCTAACTATAGGACCCAATCCAGCGAAAGGATGTGCTGAATACTGTCCCCACTGTACCTTGAATCTTGAGACAACCCAGGGTCAAATTCTAGAAGTTTGAACCAACACAAGCTTCTGAGTCTAGTTGATTAGGCTTTCCTTCTTGTGCCACATGAATTGTTATTCTTCCAACCCTGGTGTTTGCAGAAATTCCCACAAAATTACATTAGGGTCTCAATAACAAAACCTATAAAATAGAGAAAAATAAAAAGAGATTCTCATTACGTGAGTTTTTTTACAAACTTCTCTCTAGTACAAAATTGTCCACTTTATTCACTAATATTATTAAATACCTAGAAAAGTCACTGTTATATTTGTTCATGTTCACCAGCCCCTTTTTCATGATTCCAAATGTTTCTTTCACTGGTCACAAGATTCATATGCTTTCTTTATAGCTGTAATATGACTTTGTAACAAGTTTTAAGTTTTTAATTTGAACTATTTTTAAAAAATAACTATTCTGTAGGCTGTCATTTTGTCTTGTTGACCATGTGCTTTGCTTTACAGAAGTTTTTCAGTTTCAGGAGGTCCCATTTATTAATTGTTTCTCTCAGTGTCTGTGCTGCTGGGGTTATATTTAGGAAGTGGTCTCCTGTGCCAATGCATTCAAGTGTACTTCCCACTTTCTCTTCTAAAAGGTTCAGTGTGGCTGGCTTTAGACTTTATATTGAGGTCTTTGATACATTTGGACTTGAATTTTGTGCCTGGTGATAGACATGGGTCTATTTTCATTCTTCTGCATGTTGATATCCAGTTATGCCAGCACCATTTGTTAAATATGCTTTCTTATTTCCCTTTGATACTTTTTGCTTCTTTATCAAAAAACAGGTGTTCGAAGATTTGTGGATTAATATCCGAGTCTTCGATTCAGTTCTATTGGTCCTTCTGTCTGTTCTTATGCCAATACCAGGCTGTTTTAAGTACTGTAGCTCTGTAGTAGAGTTTGAAGTCCGGGATTGTGATGCCTCCAGAAGTTCTTTTATTGTACAGGATTGTTTTTTATTGAATTTTATTGAGCTCTACAGTTTTCTTAGCTCCCCTCCCTACCTCTCCCTTCCCCTTCAACCCTCTTCCAAAATCCCCATGCTCCCAATTTACTAATGAGATCTTGGCTTTTTCTACTTAGATTGGATCTATGTATGTCTCTCTTAGTGTCCTCATTGTTGTCTAGGTTCTCTGGAATTGTAATTTTGGGCTGGTTTTCTTTGCTTTATAGTTAATAAACCATTTATGAGGGAGTACATGTGATGCTTGTCTTTTTGTATCTGGATTACCTCACTCAAAATGATGTTTTCTAGATCCATCCAATTTCCTGCCAGTGTTTTATTGTTTATTTTTGTATCAATGTTCACAAAGGAGATTGGTCTCCCAAGCAAAAGATCCCAGGGCCAGATGGTTTCGGTGCAGAATTCTACCAGTACTCCAAAGAAGAGGCATTGCCTATACTCCTCATGTTATTCCACATAATAGAAGCAGGATGAACATTGCCATACTCTTTTATTGAGGCTACAGTTACCCTGGTACCAAAACTACACAAAGATTCAACCAAGAAAGAGAATTACAGACCAATCTCCCTCACAAACATTGAAGCTTCCTCCTCTTTCACATGGTTCTGTTAGTCCTGAGGGGAGGTACTTCGTGGAGACCTTCAATTCAGTGGTGTTCCAAGGACTCTCAATCTCTGCATATTGTCTGACTGTATGTTTCTCTATTTTTTCTCCCCACCTGTTGCCAGAGGATTCTGCTCTGCTGATGGTTGAGCAACGCTTTGATCTATGAGTATATTCAGTGTGGTAGAATGTCATTCACAAGCACCCAATTTGTTTGGTTTTTACCTCTGGTTCCTGAACTATCTAGCTTATGATTTTTGTTTTTTTTTTTGTTAGCTTATGATTTTTGGTTAACAAAGGGGATTAATAAAGGGGAGGTTTAAGATGGGGGGGCTTAAGGGTTCCCGAGACCAGGAATGACAGAGAAAGAATTAAATGATGGATGGGGGTTCAGGGATCCCCAAGACGAGGAATGATAAAAAATTAAATTATACGAGTCTGGTCCATTCAAGTGTGTCAATCTGGATCCCTGGAGCTTAAAAATGTCTCAGAAAGAAATAAAGTTTGGATATATTAACTGTATATGATTAGGATAATAGAGTGTATTATGGCATTACCTCAACATCTGGGAGACACTGCTGCAGTCAGGGGTGAACCTGTTATGTTAAGGAACTTGTTAAGGTTTTGCTTAACACCTGGATTTTGACCGTCCTTGGACTGTTGGCTCTATGTCTGATGACGATTCCTGTAACAGCAGCTGAGTGGTTATTTGGACATTTAAGCATGACATTGGAGGTATACTGAGAAGTTGTATATAGGAAAAAGAGGAGAAGGGAGAGTTTCTGGATCTAGGTTAGTGCACTGTAACAGAGCCTTTGTAAGGCGTTCCAAAAATGCAGGAGCATTCTCCTTCGTATCCTGAATAATCTCTGAGAGTTTAGCATAATTTACTGGCTTGAGGGCAGCCTTACGAAGGCCTGCCAGGAGACAAGTCAAAAATCGGTCTCTGGCCAAAATCCCACCTGGACTGTTATAGTTCAAGTGCGGCTCCTGCTCTGGGACTGCCTCTGCCCCCAGGAAGGTGGGAGGCAAGAGTCTGGTGAACCTCATCTGCATGTTGTCTGGCCTGCTCCCAAACTCACCTGTGCTCCTCAGGAAGTAGGTTATTGATGGAATCATAAAGATGTCATGGAAAGTAAGATTATAAGATTGAGTAAGGTATTGGAATTGTTTTATGAAAGTGGTAGGATTAGATGTATAGGAACCCAGTAACTTTTCTATATGGAAGAATTCTGATAGAAAAAAACAGAACATATACCCTGACCAGTCTCCATCTACGCCGGCAACCTCTTGCAACAGCAGGACAGTGGCAGGCTTGGCTTGGTTGGGATTAGATTCCGTAGCAGCACGTGAACATGTGAGAGGAGGGGTAAAGGAGGGTGCCAAGGCAGGGCAGCTGCCACAGCCAGGCACTGGAGAGGAAGGGGAACTTGA